GAATGAATAGATTTGTGTGAATGATTCAGAATTGTGTCATCTTTGCCAGGCAGCAAGCATTTAAAGGGAGAGCGAGAAACTTGTGCACTTACTTGCCAACTTTGAGCGCTTCCTGCAGCTGTTTGAGGCAACGATCGATCTTGCGCTCGCGCACTTGGGAGCCGTACTTGGAGGATGCATAGGGTTCCATGGGGAAGCTAAAGTATGGATGTGCATCGAAGGTGAACAGACAGGCCTCGGTCGATGAGCTGGAACTAGAGCTGGAACTAGAGCTGGAGCTCGAGCTGGAGCTGGAGCTTTTCGATGCTGTAGCTGTTGCTGCTGTTGCTGCTGCTGCTGCTGTCTCAGCTGTAGGCCTATTCATCATAATCTGCACTTGCACTTGAACGCGTTACGCATACGCCACGTTGTCTGCTGCCGCTGCCGCTACTGCTGCTGTAGTTTGTTGAGGAGCCAGCGATTTGCAGTAGCTCTTAACGCGATGACTTCGCGTTAACAACTGCTAGCTGGAAAATGGGCAACTGGCCATAAACGGCTTAATCGGGCGACTTCTTTGTCTAGCTTTGTTGGCCATGGCTTGTGATTATTTTATAATTTATATATGGCTATCGCTTTGGTGCCAGGTAGCAGTTATTACAGTTGGCCGCCAACTACGTCATCAACAGCAGCCGCTGCGGACATATTTTCAAGCGCTTCTAACTCTTGTTCAAGCCTTGCCATAAAGTGATAAACAAGACTCTGCACCCGCCTGGCGCACATTGCGTATACGTCAAATTGCCGCCTCTCCGATTACATTTCTTCGTAATGTACGCCAAATTCTTTGTACTGCAATGCGATCCCTATGCAAATAAGCTCGTGCAGACATTGTTTTTACAGTTTTCCAACACTGCCATCATAATCCATAATGGAACACTTGCTAGTTTCGCCGGCCTTCGCCAGCCTGGCTAATGCACAGTTGGCCTCAAGTCTCAAGTCTAGCTTGTTTTTAGAGCTCTTGCGCCTGGAGACGACATTACGGATGGCCACAACTGTTTTCAAGGGCATTTCGACTTTGACTTTAACTGTGCCATGCACTCAACTCGGATCGACTTAATCGACAAGCAACGAATCAGCCCTGCAAAGTAAACGACAGGCAGATACCCTATGATAAGCACTAACTTGTGTTTTTGAATACATTTCGCGATTACTGTTGCGATCGATATGGAAGCCTTTGAGATGATGTATACTAATCAAGAGAGGAAGGGTGAGTGAAGGGAAAGGGGAGCGTGGGGGAGCAGCAGCTGTATCTATCAAAATAATCTCTATTGTTTGTCCTGACTGACTGTCTGACTAATTGGTGAGCAGCTCCCACTCCCTTAACTCGATCAAAACTCAACCGATTTTCATAAGGTTTATCTTTTTGTTCATGGTTTGGCCTCTCGATCAATTTGGCATCTAAATCTGGTAACATTTTTCTTGGTAAAAATTCATGTAAAAATACTACCCTCAAATATTCCAAATTCCCACTCCCATAACTCGGTCAAAACTCAACCGATATTCATAAGGTTTAGATCTTTGTTTAAAATTCTATAAAAATAGAGCTCTAAAATATCACACACATTCAGCCTGCTTATAGGGTATATTGCCTCATCGTATTTGTTTATATTCGCATATATATAAATGTGTTCTGTTAGCTTTCAGTTGATTTACTGGCCAGAGGTCATTCCGCAAATATTTCCATCTATCGCGTTTTCACCCCAGCTTTGCCCGTGAGAAAAAGTGACCTCATTTTGGAGAAGCTCTCGGTTCTTCGTCTGTTTCAGTTTTCCATATTTAAGTGTCCGTTCGCATTGCGTTGCTGTCGTGCTGTCCTACCTGCCCCTGCCCCACCCCCCCCTCTCCTTCCCTTTCCCTTCTTCTTCTCTCCACCCCTGCCTAACTTGCTTCCGCCGTTGTTTCTGGTTGTCCTGCCTTTATTTTGTTTTGTGTGCATGTAACTTGCTGGAAAATTAATAATAATAAAAAAAGCAGCAAGAAGTAAACGAACGAAAACACCTACGCTGCAGGGTGTTGTATAGGTGGGCGGGAAACCGAGCAAAAGTGGGTGGTTGGTTGGGTGGTCAGTGGGAGGGTAACAAATACACGCGTGACCCTATTAAATGTGTGCTAATAAAAGCTCGGGTCTCCAAATAAATGGCCATGACGACACTGAATGCTTTCTGCTCCAAAATATTCGAAGCCAAATTCACGTTTTAGGCGCTTAGCTCAACAAGGTCCGTGAGGGGGTGGCTGGAGTGGGCACGCCTTAGAAAATGTTGTGAAGGAGGCGTTGAAAACCAAGAAAAATTACTTAAAAATTCAAGACAATTTCTGCTTTTGCTGATAATAATAATCATGATGAAAATGATGATGATGATGAAAAGAAAATCAACGCGCACAAAGCAATCGCTGAAGACTGAAGGATGCAGGACAAAGTTAAGGGGGGGAGGGGGGGTAGGCAGGAGGACAACAGAGAACGGTGGCGGCTTCCTCTTCACGCGCTAAAGGTCAACTTTTTTTTTTCATTTGCAACGTGGTCATTTATAAAATCTGCGAGCATTATTAACAACAAAAGCGAAAGAAAAGCGAAAGCAACCGGGAAAAGCGTTGACTGTACAATAAAACAGGACTAGGACCATATACATATATATACTATACTATATGTATATGTATACTATATATATATATATATTAATATAATGGTACATGCACTGAGTTGTGCCCGCGATTTATCAAATTAATGAGTATCATTCTATTTTCATTTCATTTTCCATGCGCCATGCGAAGGACACCGAAAAATACGAAAGTAAGAAAAATATAGTAAACGGAAAATTACCCATCGAGTGGGCCACAGAAAAACAGAGAGAGAGAGAGGGGCGAGCAGGCGTATTACTTAGAATTGGGTAAAATAGTAAAAGGTGTCGATAGTGCTCGAATTGCAGATACCCTGTAGAACGAGTTTGATCGCCCCGAGTTTGGGGCGAACGGGTGGAACTTATACAAAATGTGAAAAATCATTTATATATATTTTCTACAAGAGTGTAAACATGCGAAATTTGGTATCTCCATCTCTGAAAATCCTCGAGGTATGCTTAGAAAAACACATTTCTAAATCGATAATTATCGATCTTTCTGGAAATGGGGAAAGAAACTAATGAAAATGTTAGCTGCTTCTGTAATTGGCATATGATATCATATATTTAAATTCTCTCTAGCTTTTGTGGATAGATCAACTCAGCACATCGAGCATTTAGATACTTTAAGCAACATAGCCTTGATGACCATTTAGATGCGGTTCATTAAGGTAACTTTTCGGGGTGTTCCACTTGGCAGTTGAATGAAAATGAAAAGGATACGAATAAGCTGCCAGTTGCGAGTATAAATGAGCTGGTTGCCAGCTCAAATCTTCGGCCACTGAGCTCCATTGGCGTCGCCAAAGTGAGTGCAAATGTTGTAAGACCAACACCGAGGACTAACACATGGCAAAGGGAGCTGTGTTGGCGTTGGAGAACTAATGTGGGCGATTACATAAACAGGACACACGAAAGGACGTACCGACAGTGGGACGAACGGACATTTGCCGTGTAAGCAAACACACCCAAAAGGCAAATAGAAACACCCAACAACTGAGCATAAATCCCGGCCAAACCCATGCCAGGACATGGCCCCAAAAGGATACACCAAGCACTTTGCATGCCCCTGCCCATGCTCGTGCTCGTGCCCGTGCCCATGGATAGGTACAAATAAAGTGACCAACCCAGAAGGTCTACAAGAAAAAGGAAATACATATAATAATAAAATACTTTGGCGAGTAGAAGAAAAAAAAAACCCAAAAACAAAAATATATATAGCAGACGAGTAGCCAGCAAAGGACTCGGAGACGGCACCGAGACCGAAAAAAGGAAGCCAAAGCGAATTGTTTTATATCCCTCATTTGTCCATTTAATGGCTGAAACGAGCCAACCCCGGACAGGAGCAGGAACTGAGACCAGGACTCGAAGGCAAACAGCAGAGCACACAGAGAGAATCGACAGACAGGCCAAAGGATGGCTGAGAAAAACGCAACCAAGCAAAGTGAAAAAGAATATTGAAACACTAATAAAAATAAGGATAAGCAGGGAATGCATTAAGTAAAATATAGAATAAGTGGGGTAGCATTGGGGAACGGGCAAACGAAAAACGTGTGCTCACCCCCCAACACCCCTTCTGCTCTTGTTCAATGGTCGATGGGACGTATGAGATTGGTTTGCTTGACTTGGTGTTGGGTTAAAGATGGTCACGGCTGCGGGTACGGGTTAGCTACAGATTGGATTGGATTGTTTTCGGGCCTTCTGGGGGTTGCTGCGCACTCCATACACCCGTACTCATAGTTTAATCATAACAATAATTCACCCTTTCCAGGGTATATTCTTGCTTAACCAACTATATTTGGGCTGTCGATTGGGGCTGTTACCGATTCCCCTCACCACAACCTAGTTTGCAAAACTGACCATTTCCCAGCTAACTATTCGACTTTAACATAGCCAGGGTCTGTTCAATTCTCGACAGCGACAGATTATTTAATTGAATGCTGCATTGGTTTATATATAAGCCACTGCCTGACTTGTTGGTGCTCTACACAAGGTCCTAAACTTCAAAGCTTGAAAACTACATTTATTAAATTAATTACCAATTTGTGCTGATGGTGCAGACCAATTGCGACTCGCTGCCTTGTATCTTACACAAAACTAATTTTTAAAGGGCGAGGCCTTACTATGCGATTCTCAAGAATTCAAGTAAGATTTCCAGGCTTTCTTTTCACAAGTTGTATCTTATTATCATTCATATTTTAGTATTAATACTCTCTTTCTAACTTACTGTGAAAGAAAGTAAATTGGAATAAATGTATTCATAGTATTCATATCTCCCTGTTTCTCTCTCTCTCTCTCTCACTCTCTCTGTCTCTCAACTCTCATTTTGTTACCTTCTTTTGTTTTTTTCAGTAATGTGCCTTCCACCTACAAAAATTTGATAATGAAATGATCTTGCATATGTATTGGAATCTTTGGGTAAGTGCATATTTTGATTTATTTATCTTCGAACAAGAATTCATATTTGTTAAAGCAATGGAGACCCTCATTCGGCTGATTTTCTGGTATTTTTATAGTTTGACCAACTAATTCTTATGATATTAAGCTTTTCGAGTCAATATTTGATACAAAGTGAAGTGGAGCCAGATTAAATTCTTTACGTTAATTAAAAATAATTATTGGTCACACTCAACTAGTGTTACCTAAGACTAGAAAACAGACAAAGGGGTTTTGAACCTAGAAAAAACTTACTTCGGTTTACGATTCGAACCAATGAGCTTAAGGGTAAGGCTCAGTTCTAGAGCAACTGGTTCGGCTCACGGTTTTAAGAAAAAATGGAATTCTTAGTTCGGGCTTGTAGACTTGGGTTCCTCTCTATAAGAACACGTAATCCTTCCATGCTTTAATTGGAATAATTCGATTAGTTAAGCATATTAGAACTTTTGTAACGCTACGAAGGGTTTTTTCTGCATATAAACTGAGAAACGCTCAATGGGATCCCAATCTACAAACAAGATGCAGTTAAAAGCCTTCTTTCTTCTCATCTGCATTGCATTCGTTGCCGACAAGATGTGCACCGAGCCACCATGTTCCAGGGGATAAATTAGCTGCTCACTCTATTAACGAAAGTGGGATTTTTTTTTGGTTTTTAAGGAAATAAAAAACATGTGAACATTTATTTATTTTCCAATTTTATTCATTGTATAGTTGAGTAAATATATTCAATTGTACTCAACCATGTGTGAGTGTTTGTGAGTATATGATGTATTTACATGTCAAGTTGGTAAAAATATAAACTAAACTGCGAGAATAATGCAGCAGGGTTGAATGCGAGGAGAGGTCAACTGTTGGGTCATTGCAGCCGCTGCAGTCCGTGACCCATGCCACATGTCCTGCCTGCACACACACACACACACACACACACACACACACTGCCACACGGAAAAAAAGTGTGGAAAATGGAAAAACAGAAAACATGAACGAGTACACAAAAAATAAAAGAAAATATATACACACACAGAGCAAGTTTTGGCATGTTGTGGAGTTGCGAATAAAAAATAAATTTGAAATGAATTGAAATAAAAGGGATATGCAAATGCAAAATGGAAAATAATATGCAACATATTTTAGTTGCCATCAAAAATAGGATTGTGGCACAGAGTTTTAAACCAAAAAATCAAATATAACAGCCAGACAGAGAGAGAAAGAGAGATACAAAGAGAGGAGATGGAGAAATGCTGCCTGCGTAGCGACTAGATGCCATAGTTTAGCTCATCATGGCCACTGTGCCACACAGGCTGTGGCAACTCGGTGTGTCGTCTCGTCCTAGTTGGTAACTCCCTGCCACATGCAACATTCAATGCATACAAATGGCATTTAAGCCGGTTTTGGCTTACAAAACGGCACAGCAACGGGCTAAGCGCAGCTACACACACACGCACACACACATGCTGTACACAGACACACACACACACACTCACACGCAAACACACTTGGACACAGTAACAGCAACGCAATTTATATGCGTGGCAAATGCATACAGAACAGCAACAACCTCGCACAGTGGAGCGCTGAAATTTCAGCAGAGTCAAACAGGCGGCAAAAGCTACTAAACTAACACACACAGACACAGCGAAACACACGTGCAAACAGATACTCACATACACAAGCAAACATACACACACACACACACTTACATACACTTGAATAGTCAAAGCGCCTGCAGCAACTCTTGGGCCTCCATGTTGCATAGTAGGCACGGCTGTGTATTATAGTTTGGACTCTCAGACAGCTTTGGTCGGCCGTTTGGTTGCCCGGCGGTTGGGCGCTTGGTTGGGTGGTTGGGTGGTTGGTAGGGTCTGCGGGTGCTCGGTTATGGTCATAAAATAAACCAAACAAACAAGCCGGAACCATGTCAGAAGGCACCGCACTCCCAGCACAAGCGCAATTGTGTGTGTGTGTGTGTGTGTGTGTGTGTGCACTCTGTGTGTAGTGTGGGGGCCAGAGCAAGGACGAACATGAGTGGGCACAGTGGGGCAAGATATAAGAAAAGTTGCTGGCACAAATTTAAAGAAAAGCTTAAAGAATAACTTTGAGCTGGGAAGAAATTTGATTGTTGTTATAATAATTAATATTAAAAACTATTTTGATATATATATTATCACAAACATTTGATTGCGCACCACTGTGCAGCAGTTAGCCCCACAATGATATGTGCTGTGTCGGGCGGGGGGCAGGGGTGGGGCTTCGGTGTAGATGTGGAAAGTTTTGGCGAGAAGGGACGCCACGCGAACGGTGCGAGCTGTTTCATAATTTTATACACTTGTGCTGAGCTGCGCTGTGGTTCGACATGGACACGACCAACAAACAAACACACACACACGCACACACACGGACACACACATGCCACGCCTCCGCTTGTGTAGTGTGTGTGCGCGTGCTGGCATGTCTGCGCGTTTATCAATAAAAATGTTATGCGTTGTTGTTGTTGTTTTTGTTGTTGGCTTTGTGGTTTTTGTTTTTAATATTTTCACCGTTTTAAGTGTTAAAAGGATATCTGGCATTTAATGTCTGTGTGGGTGTGAGCTGCGAGTCTGTGTCATAAATATCAAGCTGACTGTGTCTGCGTTTGTGTGTGGGTAGTCGCATATTAAGCATACGCAGCGTAACACGAGCTAACTCAAGGGTCTAGCCCGCTAAGGACCTTAGAATGAAAAACTGCATTAGTTCCGCTGGTCTTCTGCATCGTTGCAGCTCGATGGAGGAGCTGAACCCAGTGAACCCTTGTCTCCCCCTCGCCGTTTTTATTTTATAATCTGTTAAAACTTTTCCCCATGAAATGCAGCCCCTGAGCATGCTTGAAAACTCCTTTTGAATGTGGGTCGCAACTTTTTTTTATTGCTGATTACTTTTGTATGATGTAATGCGCCACTCTGAAGGACACACTCACTGAACTTGTGATGGAGAAAAAAAAAACAAGTATGAGGATGGACTGGAAGATACTCTCTAATTAGCTGTTGGTACAAAAACTCGAACTGCTTTCTACACATTTGTCAGGCGAATAAAGTGAAATATTCTGAAACTGTTTATAGTACATATTAAATTAGGAGACCAAGCTTCAAGCTTCAATCAAAACGCACATACAGACAGACGGGCAGACAGAGAGAAAGAGGATAGGTTCTTTATGGGCTCGGAAATGTGGTTTTCTGCCTGTTACATAAATTTGAGCAAGCCCCTCATACCCATTTTATCACATGTCATTGGTTACAGGGTATGATAATCCACCCAGCCCCAAACTTTTGAGTAGAGTATTCAACCATTTTTGGTTTCTGTCGCTGCTTCGTCGCTTAAGGTGTCACTTCCGGTCGCCCTGGCTGCCACAGTAAAGCCCCCGTGAAACGACTCAAATGCAGCGTCCATTATCAAGGACCCTGCCGCGGCGCCAGGTCTTGACATCGGCAGCAGTTGGTAGCTAACAAAATTAATTTTCGAACAATCCAACAACAAAGCAAAGCAAACGCGAACGGTTAACGGTAAAAAAGGCGCACGTGCCACGCCCATTGACCGTACAGCCCTTCAGCCCGCACCATTGTCCAGTGAAGCGCGGCAGCCGGCTCCTTGACAGGAGAGAAGGAGAACAATCGCTGCGTTTCCAACATTTACTAATTTTCCACTCCACGCCAAGAATAATCGCCCAAGCACACACACATACACACACACACACACGCACACACAGACACGGACACGCACATGGTACGTGCAGACAAAGCCACGGCAAGAACTTGGACTTGACGCGCTTGGTCCTGGCACTACAAGGGATTAACCTCAAAAAATCTCATCAAAGTCAACGCCAAAGAGAAGGAGAAAGAACAAAACGGGAGTCCAAAAAGCACGAAGGATGCGGCCAGGCGATCCTTTTGTGGTGGGTGTGAGCCCAGCAAATAGCACAAAAATTCAACGACTCGTGAGAGACACCAAATGCCGAGTGGAGGGCGGTGCGGGCACGATATGGAGCCATAAAAATAAACCACCCAAAAAGTGGGCTAAAATGAAGTTCTGTGCAAAGAACAATAAAAATGGCAGGCAGAGGACGCACGGATTGCAGGCTCAGACGCCGGCGTCGACGCTGAAGATGAAGATGATGACGAGAAGCCGGAGGGGGGGGGGGAGAGGAGGGTAGGCAAGGCAGGAGGAGTAGGAGCAAGAGGAGGCTAAGTGTGCGTCTGGGTAGCAGGAGGAGGCTGAGGCTGGGCAAAAGTTACAGCAGCGCATAAAGAAACAAGAAAGTGCGGCTATCTACGGGACACCGAAGTCCAGATACCCTGCCAGACACATGTTTTAGATGGACTTAATTAGCCACCGATTGTTCCTACAGAAGGCATATGATAAAAGTAGTAGTCCGATTTGCACATATGTCAAGGGAATAGTCAAATGCGAAAAAGCCAACTTAGGTCAAGATAGCTTGAAAAACAGAAAGGATATATCTATATGGACTCGGCTGTTGTTAGCGATCGAGAATATATATAGGTATACTTCAAGGAGTGAAACTTATTACACATTCAGTCACAAAATGAAAATACCCTAAACGAGAGTAGAAAACACCAATGAAACATAAAAGACGCGCCAAGCTGCAGCAGAATTAAACAGAGTCGGGCAATGGGCATTCGCTTTTCTCTCTGTGTTGCCCACTGTAAGGTGGCGGCATATTATGCAGGGGTACGGGAAGGCGACAGAAAAAATTATACAAATACAAAAGGAAAAATCGTACAAAAATAAAAAAAAAAGGCACAATGACAAAAGAAAATACAATGGAAGCGATTGGGCCGACTGAGGGATGTGCCATGAGTTGCAAAGTGCGAAGGGCAGGAGGGGGGAGGCAGGAGGCAGCTCGCAGCCCAGCCAGGGGTTGCAATGCGGATGACAATGGCAGGGCTGGGTTTGCGCTCTCGAGATCTGTGCACATATGCAGCACACACACG